CTAAAAACCTTTTCTGAATAGAAACATACGTTGCTCTTCTCTTTACCTTCATAATATATGGTGTTTTACGGGCGTTCATCCCACCTGTGAGTGACCGGCGTGCCCGCCTGACGGTAGCTATGTGTTTCTTTCCTCTTTGATAACCAGACGTTCCACAGCCTGGAACTTCTTTGACCAGCAGTTTTGGTCGATCATGATCCTGGCCCAAATCCAGAAGTTCATGAATTTCGTGTACGTGCTTGTGCTTGATGATATGAGTTTCGTCTCAGGCCACCAGCGTTGTCGGGTTCTTGGTTACTGGTCCTTTCCTGCGGCCCCACTATGGGCGAGGTGCAGGGGGATGAGGGGGGGTGGTTGCTGTCGTGAAATGTGGATATTTTTGTCCACCGCAGGGCTGTTGTCGGTATCAGACCTTTCCAGAGGGAAGTCGGGAATGCAATGCTGTAGCCGCTCAAAACCTTCTCGTGGAAATCCTTGAAATGACTTGAGGATCAAAACCCCATGTACTACGGTCTGGTTCTATTGCGGGTAGTTTATGAAGAGAGACGGGGGGGGGGGGAGTACAAGAGTTGAGAAGAAAGAAAACAAGATTAAGAGAACTTTGCCGAGTTTAAGGGTGTCATGGGCTTGAGTAAAGAGGTAAGAAGTCTATCCTTGATACCCAACGAAATAGAGACTGCGGTTGGGAACAAGGGCTGGGTTAACAGGTCTTGAGCCGATATTGAAGATAGCCAACAGGCTTTTTTAGTATACGGTTCAGACTCTTGGAAAAATGATCAACAAAACACATCACCCCCCCCCCCCCCCCCATCTCATATCAACCCCTCTTACCGCCCACCTCTAGCTATCGGAAGCCTATTGGTGTTGTTGCACCGTGCTCTCGGTAGTTGATCTCGCCGCTGTACCTCGGTAGGTAGCATCAATGAGCACCCAGAGCACTTAAAAATGGCACTATAACTCAAGAGAGAATAGCAGACTGCTCGGTTTAAACAATTGGTTCGGCTGGGGATGGGGTAGGTGAGGGTTTAATTGTGGGTGGACTGGACGGTGGTTGAGGTGGTTTTCGGGTGAGACTGGCTGTTGTTCAAGGTGGTCTTGGGGTCAAGCTGGGTGGTGGCCGAGGTGATCTCGGGGCAAGACGGGGTGCTGTTAGGGGTGTCGGTTGTGTCGATGGTCAGGGTGAACGGGGGGGGATCATTGGCGTGGGAGTTGACGTGTCGGTTCTCGGGCTGAGTGTCGGGGTGGACGCGGTGGAGGTGGCCGGCGTGGGAATTGGACTTGATGTTGCGGTCGTGGTCGGTGTGCTGGCCTGGTTTCCAATGAAAGGAGAGATAGTGGTGTTTGCAATCCGGGTGAGAGTCGAGGTGGAATCCTCTACTGCTGTCGTGACAGCTGAGAAAGCCGGCTCAAACTTGTTGACCAGGTCTTCGAGTTGTTCAATGAGTTCTGCTTGGCTTTTGATCTTTTGATGTAGCTTGGCGACCAAGAAGGGGTCGTTTAAGCCGCAGGTGGTGGCTTCATGTTCGGTCTTGGTGTTTTTCGCAGTCTCGTAGTGCTTGGTCAGTTCGATTGTATGTCCAGAGAAATCAAGCCAGTAGTGAGCCCAGGAATGGTAGAGATCAGCCCTTTTTTCGGTCTGGGTGCAAAGCGGGAGTTGATTGCGGTTCTCGGTCATGAATTTACTCTATGTGGCATCGAAGTACCTTTGCAGGACTACGGAGGACAGGTAGTTCATTGCCTCCGGTCCCATCCCCTGTCCCATCTTTCAATGACCACGACAAGCGGTGTTTGGCATGATGGAGAAAGTGGTCAGCTTCCAGTAGTAAGGTATAAAGGCGAGTTCGATCGTGATGAAGCACAGGGGAAAGAGGAACAAGTGCAATGTTTTTGGTTGCGAAGTATAAATACCCTCTCAGGAGTTTTGGTGGGTCATTGACAAACCGGCGTTGCACCACTCCTAGCTGGCCACCGGACAACTTGCTGGAATTACATCATCCAGCGGACTCCCCTTTTGATAGGTAAAATAATGACACTTGATATTTAGTCTGAAGCCATTCAAAGATGGTCAAGAAGCCTTAAATGGGAGCTAGTAGGCACCAAAGGATACCCTAGTCAACAGGCGGGATAAAGTCCACACGCCAAAAAAAAAACTAAAAAACTTCAACGATAGTCAACAAACCTATTTCCTCACCAGAATGGTATAGGTCAACCGTCATCACACGTAACTGATTTTCATGACTGGCTATTTTGTCTAGGACGTGAGAGTGGGAAGGCTGTCAAGCACCTGGTTGCTACAGCACTTCTCTCAAGACTTGGGCACCAAAAGCACGGCACAGTCGAAGTAGGTAGACAACTTCCAATTCATTCCCATACCAACCTGGAATTTTCGACTTTAAAATAATAGATACATGAAATACTCAATCCCATACTCTCCTTCTTTAAGGTCCAACCTTTCGGTGAATCACAACTCGCCATCAGATTCATGGCCAGGCCACCGCAGGTGAAACACCTGAGACCGTATCGTTTTGAAAAGGTGGTAGATCTAGGGCCTCCAGTGATTAGGTGCTCAAAGCAGCTCTCCAGCTTGATGGCATGATTGCGAAGAGGTTGTATCATATGTCTTGTCCAGTCTCTCCTGTATGACTACCTACCTAGGTGCTGGGAATAATATACAAGAGTATAGGGAGTAAAGTATTGGCTGACAGGTTGCTCGGAAGGTGATTGTGTTCTATTCTGATAACGGGACACGCTGTGGGCAAAATAAAGGCATTATATTATACCTATCTTTTGAGGACTTTGATATTTTGCCGCAGTCTCTATTCTTCTGTCTATGGCGTGCACGAGTTAAATTGTGCTCAGGATAACAGAGCGTTTGATTCAACGGGTGACAAGGTTGGGTTGTTTGAACGAGTTTCTAACCGGCGTTGAGTTTACCGTACTATGCTCACCTGGAGCGGGGTGAGGGTTAGAGTAAAAATCGTGGTGATATTTATACCATACCTATCTAAGCTTCCACTTTAGGGGTGTATCTCTCGGCAGCAATCTCCATTTCTTTGTCTATAACGTGCCCAACCCGAATTGAGATTGCCATCCATGGCAACAACCACACCAAACCAATATCTCCTACACCAAAAAAAAAAAAAAAAAAAAAGAAAAGAAAAGAAAAGAAGAAAAAAACACATTCACCATCACTAACCAATTCTCCAAAAATATCTCCATCCTTCTACCCTTCCTCAAGGACCCCAAGGCTGCCCACAAGAAGCGGCTGGCTTCCCCTCCGCTAAGCCTTTAGTTCTGGGGGCCTCATGAACCGACAAACCCGCCTCAGAAGCTGGACTTTCAGCTTTCACTGTCAAATTCGGTGTGTTGATCTGTGTACCAACAGCCGAAATTCCACCTGTGATGGTGGAAGAAAAGTTGAAGGTGGGAGGCTTGTCATGTTTACCGAGGTTTTTCGTATCCCTCAGCGAGTTTTGCATCCATTTATTGAAATCTTGAATCGTCTTATTCAAGTTCTCCAGAGTCTTATTCAAGTCTCCCATGGCCCCTTCGAGGCTCTTATTGGGGTTCTCCACGTCCGTTCCAGATTCCCCCATGTCCTCCTTGAGGGCTTCTGTGGCCTCGTAATTTTCTTCGAAGGGTCCACTGACAGGAGTGGCTCTGTCTTCGAAGACGCCTCCATCTGAGGCCGGGTTCTGCGACCAGTTGATGGCTTCCCCGCGCGCTTCAGCACATTGCTTGAACCAATTGGCCCAGTTCCACATCCTCAAGCCCACTTCATTGTGGGTTAAATCGATGCGTCTGGTGTACACCGCCCAGTTGATTTCTCGGAACTGCGCTTCTAGGCGCTCGACGACGGCGGGATCAGAGGCGATCCTGGGCCGGTAGTAGGTCGTTGGCAAGTGGTTAGACATTTTGATGATTGAGTCCAATGGATGGTTTTTGCTGAGTCTCTGGAGTGGTGGTGACGACGAGGATGTGACGAGAGTGGTGAAGAGTGAGAGTGGTGAAGAGTGAGAGAGACGAAGAGTGAGAGAGACGAAGAGTAAGAAAGACGAAGAGTGAGAGAGACGAAGAGTGAGAGTGGCGAAGAGTGAGGCTGGTATTAATAGGTATGAATAAATAACCTCACAAAATCATACTTTGAATAAAGAAAATCTTCCAAAGTCTAACCACCCTGAACAAAACTCAGATTACGCCTATCTGATTCACATCTTCCCATCAAGCCACGATCTCCTCCCATTTGCGGCTCAAATCAGCAGCCAAAGTCTCTTTTCCAAGCTCTCTGGCCAGCAAGCAAAACGTCATCTTGACTCTCACAACTCAGATCAACCCCCATGACAGCTTCGCCTCCACTTATCCAGCAAGACCCAGCAGCCAAAGCCTCCTTTTCCAAGCCCTCCAACCGGCAAAGCAAATGTTATCTTCACCCTCACAAACCCAAATCAGCTGCCACGACAGCTTTGCCTCCACTTGTCCAGCAACCATCTTTGCAATTCCCTCATCGCAAGCCATTGAGGTCCACACGGGGAGCCCTTCCTCGGAAATCTCTCACCTGAACTTACCACTCACCACCTCCAACCTACCACGCCCCCCTCAACCCTAAGAACTCCACAGCAACCCCAACCCCTTCTTCCCCTCCTTCCCCTCCTCACCCTCCTTCTCCCCCCCCTGCCCAACAGCCCCCTTCAAATCATCAAACACCCCTCCCACCGCCCCCCGAATCCGTCCCTCGATCTTTTCCCCCAATCTCCCCCCCTCCTGTCTGCCATCTTTCTGTTTTCCTCCCTCCAGTCCGCCCCCTCCTCATCCTCCTCACTGGTGAGCTTAGGCCGCTTAACGTGTGCCTGGTCCAGCCCGGAAACTGTCTCTGGGGCTGAGGTCTCGGCTGGAGCAGAGGTTGTGGGGAGGGTGGTGGTTTGGTCGAGGGTGGAGTAGGGGGTGGTGATGGTGCGGGTGGAGGGTTGGTCGGGGGATGTGGTTGTGGTGGTGGGTTCGGTGGTGGAAGTGGTGGGTTGGGTGGTGGAGGTGGTGGTGGTGTTAGGGAGGGAGGTGTGCTATTCTGTTAGCATATATCAATATGATTGGAAATAAACAACCTACCCCGGTGGGGTGCTCGTTGGGGCAAAAGTATTGAGACATCCTGAAGAACAGACTGGTGTAGTTCGGTGTTGAATGTGTATGATGGGATGAGATAGGTAGGTAGGTGATGATGGGATTCAAAGGACGAGGAGGAGGTACGGGAGTATATATACACCTTCTCACACGATTCAAGGATGCCAAAAAAAAAGGCCCTTTCATTAATCATCCCAGAACCCGCTTTGTGTCCCGTTCACACAAAAGTCCCTTTGCGCTCCCCTATTTGCGGGGTCTTATATTACATGTGTATGCCTCTGTGACATTCAGCATCACCTCCCCCCACCTCCCAGCTCCCACACCAGACAACCCCTCTCGGTTGGGAGGACAAAGTGTTTCCGGTATGAAACGAGCTGACCGCCTGATCAAAGTGTGATCGTGACCGGCCAGGTGGTACTGCCGTGTCTCCCAGAACACCGGATCATTCCACACGGGCCGGCGATGGGAGCGAGTCCTCCTCAGCTGAGCCCGAACAAACCCGTAACATGCCCCTGACACACACACAATCCACAGCCTTGAAACCGCCCTTGTCCGCCCCTCCCACGTAAGCTCTTACGTCCCCTCCCCAAAACAGGGCTCGCAACACCGTCTCTCTCACAACTTACTCCCCCTCTCCGGCCTCGAAAGCGCCCCACTCATCATGTACATCTCCTCCTGTCTCTCCGGCGCCCTTCCAAACAACACCGCCTCCCGTCCCCCCTTCGTCCCCCACCACGCCACCCCGATAGCGGCCCTCTCAACGTCCATCTCCCCACTCACCAACACCTCCCAGAACCTCCTCTTCACCACCTCCCTCAACGCAGAATCCCTAATCTCATTCACCGCGTGAGAAGCAAGCGTCATCCAATCCTCAAAGATATCCAACTGCAAAAACGGCAACGCATCAATCAACGTCAAAACAAGCGTACTCTGCTCCGACATCGGCTCCTGAGCCTCCAGGGGATCAGCAGCCGGCGGCGGCGGAAGCGGTGCCTGCCCATTAGGATCCTGTCCAGCAATACTAGCTCGGTAGCGGACCATCTCAAGGAGTGTCTCCGCCAGCTGTGGATGACTGGCGGCAATAGGGAAGGGGGGTGATAAAATCTGCATGACTGTTTTGAATGCTAGACGGAATTGCCGTGGGGAGATGTGCTTGGGAAATGAGGAAAACAAAGTTTCTGCGTAGAATGGGACGATCTTGACGGTGATGGGTGCGTTGTGTGGGCATGATAAGACCGACAAAACCGCGCTGTGGGCTGACTCGAACAGCTCCATCATGCGAGGTGATAGGGGCGCTGCTGCGTTGGTGAGGTAGGTGATTGCCGGCTGGATGATCAACTTGTCGCACGCTTCTGGTGGGAGGTGGAGTGGTAGGTGTTCGGCTACGTTGAGGTAGAACAAGTCGAGTGTGCGGTGGAGGGGATGGAAGGGGATTGTGCCTTCGGTGTTTGGTTTGATTTCCTCCAGGAACGCTGCTGAGGCGTCCCCGAAGCGGGAGAGTGTGTCGAGGGAGGTTAGGTAGGTGAACTGGTACACCTGGAAGGAGTCGCTTCCGTTCCTGGAAGAGATAAAGTAAAGGTTTCGAAGAGTGTGTAGTGTCTTGGCGGCCACCACTGACGCCACATCGTGCTTCTTGAGGCGCCAGTCAAGAAGACTGCGGGCCACGACGGCTTGCGAGACGGCGACGATGGCATACATGACTTTCTTGAGGAAGTTCCAGAGCCCCTCCCATGTCCCTGACATGGTTTCCGGGGTGAGGTAGATGCTTTCCTCGGAGATCTCCAGCTCGGAAAGCTTGTTGTTTACTTGCCAATGCTGAAACAGCTTCCCCGTAAACGCGATCAAGTCATCCTGAAGCTGGAGGATTACTTGGGAATCCCGAGCATTCTGAATGGCGTACCCCAGCAACCTCGAAAGGGGGCCCAGGCCAGACACCAATGGCTTCTTCTCCAGCTGGGTGATATGGAGGTATGACGGCGAGTTTGGTTCCCACGTGAACCTTTCCACAGCTTGTCGAACATCGATATCAACGGCGCCAAGAAAATACCCATTCTCAAGACCATCAGCACCAAGCATGGCCGTCGTCGCAGCCGGGATCAGAGCATCGCAGTTCAACGAGGCGCGTGATGACTCCGACAGCAAGGAAAACGTAAAGTTGAGCGCCAAAGTGACAGGTCCAGCAGGCGCTTGCGGGACTGGTTCATTCTTCCTCAGCGCAAGATTGGCAGCCGTGACAACAGCACGCTCAACCGTCCGGCGCATCCCTCCGCTTAACGAATTCCGGTTCCCGCTCTCCATCCCCATCAACACACCGGCAAACACCAAAAGATGCTGCCATCTGTTTGATTGACCGTCGGCTCCCTTCAGAACCGCTGCTGCCCATGCGTCACTGCCCAAGCCGCCACCCGCCCGCGGACCCTTGTGTTTGGCGTTCTCAAGCTCGTTCCGGCGCACGTGAATGGCGGCTGAGTTGAAGATGCTGATGACCCGATAACATGTGCGCATGGCATCCGGACGGCCCCATATTGCCGGCGCAATCAATAGTTGTGAGGTGAGCAGCGAAAGATTCAGGGGATTCGAAAGGTTGGTCAACAGCGCCGTGGTTGACCCGTAAATCTGCTCGGTGCGCGCATCGTCGTGAACGTCTTGGTAGAGCTCCAGGACCTTGGTCAGTAGGCGGTCGATAGACATGGCGGGTTGCGGTCGACCGGAACTTGGATTAATTCATAAGAGAGACGGGGAAACAGTCCAACTCTGAACAAGCAGCACCAATAGTGAGAAGAACAATGAGCGAATCGACAGAATTACAGTTTGATATTGAAAAGGCAGTGAATCTACAAAAGTCGAGGGGCAGGCGCGCGCGCTCGGCATCAAAGGTGCGCCGCGCCTGGGTGTGTCGTCGGTGCCGAGGCATATGCTTATAGCCGGGTTATGCATTAACCAAGCTCGCCCAGCTCTGCCTTGTTAGTGCCCCGATGCGCTGAACTCAGCACCAACCACCATCTAATAACTACGGGGGCTCAGCTGCAGCTTGATCCACTGGCGATACTGATATCCATTCCTGCAACGGACGACACGGCCGGAACTTGGCGCTGCCTGGTCGCGATGGACCGCATATCGTGAGTTTGCCCCCTGAATGCTGTCTATCGTTGCCAGTATCCTAACCTGACCATGCAGTCGCCATATCCGACGCGATGGTCCTCCTCCAGGCTATACCCAACCGCCGTTCCCGTCCCTGTTCTGGCCGCCCCAGGACTCCAAGGTCGCGCTCTACGAACTCGACGACATCTGGAAGTTTACGCTCTACTGGACCCTCATCCTCTATGGCCTGTTTCATCTGGGCGCCGTGGGTGTAGCCGTGTTGATGCAGATCGGCAAGAGGAGGTCTACCTGGAAATATCTCTGGATTGTGCCCCTGATCTATGCTTTTATCGCTGCGTGCGAAGCTGTCATAGCCGGCAGTGTTGTTGGGCTGATGTCGGTTTCCCTGCTATTGCTGGTCAGGGTGTATATGCTGATGTTTGCAGGGTCGGTGCTGGCTATCTTGCTGGAAACTTCACCATGTCGACCTGGGTTCCGTTTGTATGGGGCTGGGTCAACGTCTTGGTGCTGCTGGTCGCGTCCTTCAGAATACAGGGCGGTCTGTAACTGGCACCGAGACAATGGCTTTTGCGCTTCTTGGGCTTGAGCAGCACTCTTTGTCTGGGTTTGACAGAGTCAACAGTAAGCCCAGTCAACGGTCATGACAAACACAACGAGAGAGAGACCAGAAAAGCTTGCGCCTGTTTCAATGGATAGGTGCTTCAGTGCTCAGGACGTTGAAGTTGAGACAGCTCCATTGATTTATGCAGCATGAGAGATCCCAGCTATTGCGTCATAACGGGGTTCCACCCCTGTATGGTGGGGGCGCTCTAACATGCCTGCCGGCGCCCCAAATCTTCAGTTGACAGGGCAGAGACGCTATCCGACACTCAGAAACTCAGAAGCTTGACAGACGACGATCCAGCCAAATCCTCAAAGACGAAGAGAAACAACAGCTAGTTCAACAATACTTGCGCTACAATACTAGCAATCACACCGGGGAATGGGTTAGGAGAAGAAAGCGCACAGCAAGGGCCTTTGTTTGCACGAGGCTTCCAAGCTGCCTTCTTCCGAGCCGCACCGCTTTCAGATGGAGAGAACATACCGAGCATGGGCGCCTGACAAGTAAGTCTATAATTGTCTGACATTCTCCAACCCGTTTCAACCACTTTGCCCACCTCGACCTCTGCATCAACGCCATGGGGGAACCCAAGCGCGCAACCCTTCACACGACCGAGCTCAACGGCCAGGTGCCATCTCCGCGCAAGGCCACAGGCCGTAGTTCGACGACCTCTTCGACAAACTCACAAAGAAAGATCCATCCTGTCGAACGTGCCAAGACCACCGAGGAGGATCCCAAAGCTGACTCTGAAAATGACAGCGCTCTGGCCTACAACAACCCAGACCGTCTCTACTACCCTCGACAGCCCAAGTCCCTCGCCGGGATCGCCGTCCGCTCCTTTTGCCTCGGAATAGCCCTCACGATTGGCATCTCGAGCACGCTCTACATCCTCCTCTTCACCTCCTCCCCGCTCTGGCGCCTGCCCTTTTTTCTCGCTTCCCTCTCCACCTTTCACTTTCTCGAATTCTGGACCACGGCCGCGTACAACACCCGAGCAGCCGAGGTCTCGTCCTTTCTCCTCACGGCCAACTGGCCCGGCTACGCCATCGCCCACTGCTTTGCCACGCTCGAATGCCTCGTCACCAATGTGTTTTTTCCAAACGCACAGTGGGCGCCGTTTCACATTGGGAAACTTGTTTGTGTGGCTGGCTTTGCCTTGACAGTGATTGGACAGACGGTCCGCACGGTGGCCATGTGCCAGGCTGGACCTAGTTTCAACCACTTGGTTCAGCACCAGCGGAACGCGGGCCATGTGCTGGTGACGAGCGGGATATACGCGGCGTTCAGACACCCGAGCTACTTTGGGTTCTTTTGGTGGGCGCTGGGGACGCAGCTGACGATGGGGAACGTGGTA